TTCGACCTTGCCTGTGTTTCTGACCTCTCTGCTGAATAAAGCTTGCACATGGATCCGCATGTCTCACGTCTTGTCAGCCCCGTAACAATTTCCTCACCCTCATGTCGTTCCAAACCTGTATAAGTTTCTTTCTTATGTTGAACACAAAAGAAGAGATTGGAAACTTGGACATTTTTAACTTTCCCTCAAATGCCAAAAAATAAAATATGTATAATAAATAAAAAAGTCATAGATAGATAAATAATTAAAAATAAAATTACTTATGACTATTTAATGCATTCATTGACTCTTACTGTATCGAGATCTTGAAACATAGTTTAATCTGACTGTTTGGCTGAATGCATTAATTATCTAAATGTTTTATAGGAGTTTGTCTGGAGCTTCTGAGCTGAAATCAATTTTCTGTCTTAACCTTAGGAGGTCAGAGGAGAAGAGAACCAATTATTCTAACAAAGACAGAAAACTGGCCCTCATCATTGAAGGTTATGGGTAAATTAGAAGCGTGTTCCTGTCATGGCTGTAAGTAACGGCAATCACATCTGGTGATGAAACACAATCAATCTCATCCGTTTTTTTAGAATGATGTGGAAACACTCCCCTGCAGTTTACCATTTAGCAGGGATTGCAGATTTGTACGCATCTAGAAGCTTTGCGCACTGCTGTGAGTCCTTTTCAACACTTTTGATATATATATATATATATAATTTTTTTTTTACTTTACCAGATGACATCTGTTGTTGTTGACTTGGTGGCCCACTTGCTTGACTTCCAGTTTGTGTGTGTATGCACATTAAGACCTGCACATTTCAACATTTATAGAAGTATGAAGCATTTATAAAATACCTGCCTGGTGTTTCTTATTGTCCTCTACTTAACGGTTTATTGTAAATGACACTGTGAAAATATGGATATGAACATTTACAATAAAAATACAGTCTCAAAAGTTTGCGAAGAGAAGCTGCAAGGCTGCTGTGAAGACACTAATAAGGTCTAGTCTGGTGCAGTGCATGTGTGCTTCAGCTAGAAAGTGATAGGAAAAAAACTAAGGGCATTAGAAAAAACAATTCAAGGAAATCCTCTGAATGTTGAACTCATTTCACAGTATGAAATTTTCAAGCAGTTCACATAACTTTGAGCCGTTTTGAATTTGTCCTAATTGGACCACCTATAAATTAGGGTTTATTGTAAAAGCTGATTTGGTTGGGTAGAGACAGACATGACATATCCTCTACTTGAGATTTATACACAAATCTTTCTCAACATTGCTGCCTTTACCAGCCAAACACAAAATCTTCAACTTCTGAGACTCTTGAATAAGAAGTAGCAATGTGCCAGTTAAACGCTGCAATGCTGCCAGTACTAGGTTTGTATTGGAACTATTTGCATCTCAAACAGTGGGAGCCCAAAGTCTGAGTCCACTAGTGAAAATGTTTCCAGTTTGCATTTTTCCTATTTAGTCAGTTTCTTTACAAATTGTATTTTTTAGCAAAACAGTTTGAGTAACAGTTTAATTGGAATATTTACATTAAAGAATTTAAGTGTAAACATTTTACTTTTAGAATGCAATATGAGGCATGAACTCTGACCTTTTGTTCAAAGTGATTAAAATTTGATTAGAATCTTAAATATTTCTTATTCATTTTAAGGTTTCTTCTTCATCAAAAGGTTTCTTTGGTTTAAATCTTAAAATGTTATTTCTATGTTTAAATTAGATTTTAAATCCCAGCGTTTCAGTGTTGACTTGGACTTTTACTCCACTGTATATGTTTTCAAAAGTTTGCACAACTGACACCAACAGATAAAAGAAAAAAATATGAGTTATTTTTTAATCTGATATAAGTCAAGTCTTGTAGATTGTTTCAAAGCAGATTTACAGTGTTAAACAGGAAAACATGTGCTGATAATGCAAGAGGACAATAGAAAACAGTCAGTTTATCAGTTAAATTTATTTCATGGTTGATTCAGTGATGTAATCTTTCAGCTCAGTTCAGTTCTCTTCCAATAGTGTCTGTGCAGTCAAGTCAACAATGTCGCCAGAAATTGTGACCCCAACTAAGCAAGCCAAATATAAATCTAAAATTAATGTCTGCAGAAGAAAGGCTTTGATAAGATGATCAGTCTCTTGAAGTAATTGTATCAGATGAGCTGCCTTTTATGAATTTTAAACAATGCTAGACTGTACTCCAGCAACTCCTTTCTAGGTGGTGCGTTTTGTGAAGCGCATTACTCCACTTGCACGGAAAGGAAATGATTGTTCACTCAATTAGAAATAGAAGATGGTTATGAGATTGTCATGGAAGTTATTTCTCTGAGCTAATTCACATGTAAATCATTTAGGTTTAGGCAAAAATAAGTAAAGGTAAAATTGCAACAGTGGCACAAAGAAAATTAAAAGCATAGTCTGATTTATCCAAGGTAGAAGATTCTTAGATTATTTTTGTAAGAATGCAAAAAAAATAAATAAAAATAAATAAATAAAATAAAAAATATATATATATATATATATATATAGCAAAAGCATATAAACAGATGTGTCTTAATGATTTTAAATAAAGCCTCGGTCCAACCAGATCATGGAATCAGTGAATTTAAGAAATTAGATAACTGGACAGTCCAATTTATGAATTTATGAATAAAAAAAAAAAAAAAAAAAAAAAAAAATATATATATATATATATATATATATATATATAGCAAAAGCATATAAACAGCAAAAGCAAATACAGCATTGCAACAAAAGAACAATAAATATGTAAATATTGTTCTTTGAGCAACTTGTGTTTACAAAAAGATAGACAGAGCATGGACAGAAAGACACTTGTTTCTTCATAGTGGACCACCTTGTACATTTCTTGCTTACATATCAGTGGTGATTAATGATGACATGATCAATATAATTATGGACATAATGTGTCTTTTGTGTTTGTGACTGATATAAAAGTAATGATCCCCACCTGAGACCCAAAGTAATTGGACTCCCTCTCAAACCTGACAGAGAAATTAAGCTGATTTGTTTCCTGTCATCATCCATAACGTGGCTTTTATTCACATAACATCTCACAAATGTGGATAGGCTGCCTTTCATTAAATATTTTCAGCCACTTTTGGATCAAGTCAAATACATTTTTAACAGCTTAGGGAAAACTGAATGTGTGAGTTTAGTCTCTGAAATGGTTAAGCGGTGGCCTGTCGCTTCCTCTCCAAAGAGATTGAATCCAACTGATAAGAGTTATGCTGAATCCTCAAGGCTGCTCTGAATATCTTGTGTGCTGCGCGAGAAAATGTGCTGGCATTTTGCTCCACAGGATTCCTTTTTATAATGGTTAACCACACATTTTACTACACAGGCGTTCTTTTCTAGACTGATTTAACAAATTCATTTTATAAGAAGCTACTATTTCACATTCATTTTATTGAAATGTGGAATTATTGTAGTAATATGAATAAAAGATGTGGCAAAATAAGCGGTCAATTGGGAATTGCATTTGCTAGTTGGTGTTTCAGCACCATGGACAGGTCCCACAACACAACTTAATCTTATTGCTTCCTTACCACTAGTTTGGTGATTTCTTATGAGTTAGTCATTTAGCTGAACCTCCCTGTGGTTTGAACAATTGGATACCAAAACAGAATTTTTAACCATTTTAACCATTAGACTATACTGCACATCTCATGTAAAGCCAGCAGTGCCTCAGAAGTTTAGTAAGAGTCTCAAGGTGGATGAAGAGATGGACCTTTCCATTTTTTATTTTTTTATTTTATTTTAGTATAATTAGTATAATTTATTAATATTACCATCTGGGACTATCACTAAGCCACAGTATACTTTTTGCACAACGCTTATAAATTATGCATAAATTAGTTCAGTATGGATAAGGATACTAGTAATTTAGTCTAATAGTAAAATATACTTAAATGTATGAAGTATATTTACTTACTTAATGTAAATCATAATACAGGCTTCTTGATCACCTTGCTGACCGTTTGTGTTCCCTGGAAAAGACAAAGAGCCTTATTTACTTTCATAGTATGGAAAAGAGATATAAGTAAAGAAATAAAAGTAATACCTGCTGAATATCTGCTTTTGTGTTTCACAGAGGAAAGACAATCAGACAGGTTTGGAATTACTAATTTTTTCATTTTTGACTGAACTCTCCGTTAAAATTAAATGTTGCAGGATAAACAATGAGATTTGAAAGCCATAATTGGTAGAATTAAAGAACTTGCAAATGGTCATACTTCTTTCATTTATTAATATCCATTACAGGACACAATGAATCATTTATCGTGAATCAACTTACAGAAAGTTAAAGAAAGTTACTTTTTTTCTGTCATTATCTCCGCACTTCTCTCTCAGCTCTTTGAAGACATGACGAGTGAGCGCTCCTTATTACTGCCTCCGTGTTTCTGTCTGTGTTGAGAGATGAGCAGATGAAGAATTAGTTCCTAACCTACGCAACTATTTGTTCATATTATTCTTTTTTTTTTCACTTCGGCGCTCTTGACACACAATCATTTTTGAGAAAAAAAATAAAAAATAAAATAAAATAAAAATAGAAGAAAGCACTAGTTAAAACACGTAGTGTCGATATTATTGATGTGAGAATGACCGGTCCTCGCGATAAACCAAATACTATATTTTAAGATCGATCCGCCCATCGTTAGTGAGAATGAGACGTTCGCTCTTTGCGACGGGAGGAGCGTCTCTTATTCAAGCGCCTCATCTCACTCACGGTGAGTCAGTCAGCAAAACTGACCGAAGGGATTTCTTCATGGAGTACACCTGCAAACTTTCAGCTGCTTTTAAGTTACGCCTTTTAACTGTGTAGAAAATCTAAGTAGAACATCGACGCCTCGTGTACCTGTGCTTTTTATCAGACATTGAAGAACATATTTCGGGGAGATTAAACGATGTTTTTCAGTGATGGCATAAGTAGATCATGGTCGCTGGGGGGTTTGAGGAGATACACCAAATCTTAAAGGAAGAGGACTACTTGCTATCTCGACAAAAGCATCAGCTCAGAAACATGAGGGATTGTCTCCTGTGGAACTTCGCCAAAGTGATTCTGTTCTGGACATTAGTTGATGCTCAGGTAAGACGCTGGGTGACATGACATGTTATTTTTTTATTTTCTTTTGTAAGGGTACTAGTCCAGATTAACCGTTAAAAATGTTAAACACTGACCAAAACAACTTAAAAGTGCATACACATATTTAAGACGTGTTTTGTGTTACATTATATAAATTCCTTTTCAGTTTTTATGGTAAATGATAATGATAGACATTTCTTTAACGCAAATGATCTGAAGAAGTTACGATTTGATTTGACAGAACGGATGTAAACCTGTGAATGTTTGAGTAACACTTTACAATAAGGTTCATTAGTTAACTAGGCCCACTTTAGTTAACATGAACTAAGAATGAACAATACTTCTAACAGCATTTATTAATCTTAGTTAATGTTAATTTCAACATTTATTAATGCATTATTAAAATCAAAAGTTGTGCTTGTTAACATTAGTTAATGCACTGTGAATTAACATGAACGAGCAATTAACGACCGTATTTTCATTAACTAACATTAACAAAGATTAATAAATACTGTAATAAATGTAGCCTATTGTCCATCGTTTGTTCGTGTTAGTTAATACATCAGCTAACATTAATTAATATAACCTTATTGTAAAGTGTTACCAATGTTTGATTTCAACCAACCATTTTACCCAAACACTTTATCTTTACACACACTTAATAAAAAATATAATTATATATAATTTATAAAATATAAATATATAATTTAATAATATATCTTATATTATTTTTCATTGGTATAATTCTATCTATCTATCTATCTATCTATCTATCTATCTATCTATCTATCTGTCACTATCATTATATCTTATTTGATATTGTGTATTTATTTTAAATTACATTAAACATTCAAGTTAAAATGAAAATGGTCCTTCTGCTTTATTTTGCTGAAACTACAGATGCAAATAAAGATTTACTTAATCTGATCCTTAAAATGTCTTTAGCTGAATAAAACCAGTTGATTTAGTATAGATGTTATGACTATGAAATCATGTTTGTTTTTTAAGCTAATAAAAAATGTTTAAAATGCAGTTAGATATTGACTGAACTATGATTCACTTTCAAATGCAATTGCACAGCCAACTACACGTTTTCTTTTTGCATGAAAGCTGTAATCTTATCCCTAATATCAGCCTCTGAGACAGAATGGAACAGTGGGGGTTTTGATGAAAGCTTGGTGTGTTTCACAGCTCTTATCCTCTCTCCAAACTAATAATCCTGATTTTACTTTATAAAGAGTTGCTACTGCCTATAAAAATGCGTCGTCAGGTAACCTAAAATGTGACTTATGTGGTAACATCTACATTTCATTCAACAATCTTATTTAACATGACTGAATCAACTTAAATTGGGTGGAAATAGACCCTTACGGTACTGCACATTTCCTTTTTTTTTACATTGAGCATGGAATGCATACAATACGCATGCACGTTTTTTTTCTCCATTATATGTTTTTGACGCATTGTTCACTCTTGGTCTGCCATTGGCAGTCAGAAAACCAGTAAATGCAGTCACTCGAATGAGCATATATAGACCTGTGCTGTGGGTGAAATGACACATAAAAACACACTTGAGTGGCTTGTGCTTTTGTTCATGCATTAATAAACTAAATAAATTGTGTATTGTTTTGCTGAATGATTTCTGTTTAATGCACACTCATATAAACCTGCAAGGTTTTGCCACTGTGTTGCCACTTTAATCAGTCTGAATATGCTACTGTATGTTCTTTGCCACATCAAAAAAATTATGCTTGTTCATCTCACAATTGTGCAGTAATCAACATAGCACAGTTAAACTGAATGCTTTGTAAGATCTATTTTTTATGAGGGTCGGCTTGGTCATATTGCAAGTCTCATGTCATGCCTGTTAATGATTACCTTTAAACACCTGAAACTTACTCCTATTACATTGCCAGCAAGTTGCAGTAATAAATTAGCAAGCCATGAATGCAGGGCCGTTTCTAGCCAATTTGACGCCCTAGGCGAAATCCCTATTGCCCCCCCCCCCAAATTATATATATATATATAATTCTTTTCAGACACCAGTTGCTTGTCACATTCAAATTGGTTGTCAAAGTAACAACACTAATTTGTGGAAATTCAGTGCATTGAGTTCCACAAATCTGAATGCATTATTTGTAAATTGACTGTTAAGATAAACATTTTGCACAATTTAGTA